CACGCGGCCCCAGCCCTTCATTTCAACTCTGGTCAAGTTCTTTGTTGTGGTTTGCTCATTTTCCCGGACTATTTCTTCACTTTGAACATCATGTCGAGGTTGGGCTCTGCTCACCTGGGGATGAAGCTCCAGGCTTCATGTGCTGCTGTCTTCAGAACTAGTTCTGGGGTCTGCAAGTTTTTAAGGTGGTGTGATCCTGGGACGATCACCGCTCTCCTGGTCTGCGCTCTGCAGCCCCAAGTGCCAGTGCTCCTCCTGGCCTGCAACTGTGATCCAGAGCTGCTTTGGGTAGCACCAGCTGCGCCTAGAGGCGGTGAAGGGCCACTGCAATCTCTTGTCCCACCCCCTTGCCATCTCTGGGCTGAGAGCTCCTGCCGCAGTTGCAGCCACCTCCCAGCCCACCGCTAGGGCTGCCACCATGCGCCGGCTTACAGGGCCCCATCCCAACGTCTCCTGGGGACCTCTTCAGTTGTCTCAGGATGGAAAAGTGTCTTCCTGTGGCAGCTGTTTGAAGGGGAATGTGCAGAGGCCAGCTGACTCCCTGCCTATACGCCTCCACCTAGGCTCCTCTCCCATCCCCAATTCTTTAATGATGACTGTCCTTTATATGCCTACAAGGTAATAAACTACTGCATTAACTTCATCTAAAGGTGCATTTCAATGAACATTTTAGGCACGGCATTCTAAATGAGCCCCCTCTTCACCCATAACGTTACACACACATTACCTTAACAGCGCTTGGGCCACAGAAGGCAGCTAATAAAGGGCTGGTGACTGAATCACATAATAGATTAGATTAGGCTCACTCTACCTTTATGCCACCGATGCCATGGAGAGAGCGCTTGCTGGGGGTGGATGACGGCCTCTGATGCTCCCTACCCCAGTGACCTCCTCCATCACTGAGCCATCCGGGGGCTCGGTCTCCTTCCCTGTAAATAGTGGGGTTGGGAAGCACAACCTCTGAGGATCCCCTTCTGCTCAAGATGTTTCTCCTTCTGGATCATACATTTCTGGATTGTAGGAAGTTCACCGTCTGCCTCATCGGGAAGAGCACAGTACTAGCAGAGCCAAGTTTAGCCATTTGATGGATGCTGGACAAGCACTGACCACCCTGGTGGACTCTTCTCCTCTACCCTACACCTGTCTGCTCTCTGCCAGTGACTCCCAAAACCTGGCTTGGGTAGGTGTCCGGGCTTCCCTCCCTGCCAGGATGAGTGGTAGGCAGCTAGCTTGAGCTCCTTCCTCTTCCACGCCAGAGGACAGCAGGGCAGACTCGGCAGTTCAGGGGATCTGGCAGCCTCAGTCACCTAACTGCAAATCGATGCCCTGAAAGTATTTGTGAGGAGATCTTAATATAAAAGGGGATAAGCATGGTGATGCTGTCCTGGAGTCAGTATAAACCGTGTTCTTGGGGCTGGTTCATATGGCCCTGAGTAAACAGATCTACCCAGAGAGATCGTTTGGTGACATTTAGAAGTTCGCCAGACATCGTTCATGGTAATTTAATTATTTTATTGATAAGGCCAGCAGGTTATTAGTGAAAGGATGGTCTCTTAGACCAAAGACCCTCCTGGCGGTGGGGTCACAGTTTATATACCTTCGAAGAGGAGGAATTCCTGAGGGATGCCGAATCACCTCTGATTGGTTAATCAAAAGGTTAACTCAAATAGCTCAAATCCTGGTCAAAGAGACATCAATTTATGTCACCTGTCTTGATAAAAGAGAGAATCAACATTTTCTCAGGCCTGTCTGAGCAAACACAAAGAGCAGGAATACACTCATTAGCCCAAACTTAGAATTTCTTTTACTATCTGATTAGATCTTGGCCTGGGTGAATCTCTGAGAGAAATTTCCCACTTTAGTTGGTTTCTGGATGAGGAAGAAGAAAAGGGAAAAAACCTTGGTCCTAATCCAATAATTGGTTATTAAATAGAGAGAGAAATATTCATTTTCCACAGGATTCAGACTGCTTCCTTGCTTTCTCCACCCCCTTCAGAATTGGGAGATACACCTGGAATATGGCAGAAATGGCAGTAAGGAATAGCAACTGGGCCCAAACCAAAGATCCCAATTTGGAATGCTTTACCAAGAGAGCACAAGGCGGATACTCCACCCAGCTGGAAAGGCTCTGAGCATGGGCTCAAAGATGGACTGTGGCTAGCTAAGACTGGAGAGGTTAACTAGCAAAGATGAATTTTCATGGCCATGATAACTCACAACATCCACTAACAAAGGTGCTGAGGGAACATGAATTGCATATCTGCAGGATGGACCAACGCTGCTGAAATTATAGACCTTTTAAAATAGTTCTGATTTACAGAACAACAAAGCTACTGTTATAATAACTATACATTATAGATGCTATGGTGAATGAAAACTGTAACTGTTAATACCAAATTCAATTCAGTTCAGGGGACATTTATTAAGCCTAGTATGCAAAAGTCACTCAGCAACACAAAGACAAAAAATGGTCTAGCCTCTGCCCTCAAGGAAGCCCACACTGGATGGGGAACAGGGGGTGGAGACATGACCTCCACATACACAAATACAACAGGAGGCCAAGGAATCTCTGTGGTTTAGTTTTTAATCCAGGCTTGCCGATATTATTTTCGTAACTGTCCTTTGCTGATTTTGGGTACATTCAGGCTATAAATGAATCGGTCTTTAATCATCTGAGGGGTCAATAGAAAACACAATTTGTGTTTCAGTAACAGTTAAGTAGTAATGCTAATCTCAAATAAAAACAAAACCAATCAGTTGGCTGCAGGTGTTCTGTTTGTTTTTGCATTAGGAGACTGGACCTTCACAACATATACACTGTAAAAGGTCTGGCCGGATCTGACCTTTGTGTCAATCCCAAAGGAAAGCTGAGGCATTGATACTTACCACACTGAATTCTCCCACTGTCTGCACTCATCCATCTTCCTTCCTTAACTCTTCCTTGTTCTTTCCTTATTGTCCTTTTGCCGATCAAAAAAGCCACCATATTGATTTTTTTTTTAAAGACCATTGACTGCTAGAAATTTGTCACAGGACCAAATTCTTTTTTGTGGATAACTGCTTTAGAAATTTCTATACAAAGAACATTTAATAGCAAAGGCAATGAATTAAAACAAAGACAGACTTTATTAAATAATGTCAAATTCCAGAATTGTCTAATATACTCACTTTCCAAAATGTGTCATTGGGGAAATAAAATTAAGTAGCAGGACTATCCATTTTAAAATATACTAAATCCTGAAATTAAACTACAGTTATAAAAAAATCATATTTCACCTGACTAAAAAGTTATTTCTTCATGTACCTAGCTGGTAATATTTGCTTAAAATTATAAGAAAGAACAGCATTTAATAAAGTAAACAACAAACACAATGTTAAAATTGTTTTAAAAGTTTACATTTCTAACTGAACTGACTGAATCCAAACTCCACGTGAAATTGGTGTCACAGTCAAAGGACCACACTTGAGGACCTGGAGGGCCACTTGTGACCTCGAGGCCACAGGCCAGATCTCTCTTAGGACTTTGTATCTCTGGTCCACAGACATGTATCTAGCAAAGCGCTGAGTTTAACAGATCAGCTTCTCTCCATTAAGCGGGTCAACTACAACTCTTCCATTTTTCTTTGTCTATTTCCCTTTGGCATTCACTCACTAATGGTCTCTGTAATCCACCTAACCAAAACTTCTGTATCTGAAAGTAAGAGGGTAACAAAATAATATTGGCCTTCAGGAAGACAGAATGGGTCACTTCAACGATTCCCCACCCAGAAACGGAAACGGTACCTTTTCTGTGTGTGTGTGTGTGTGTGTGTGTGTGTGTGTGTGTGTGAGAGAGAGAGAGAGAGAGAGAGAGGAGAGAGAGAGAGAGAGAGAGAGAGAGACAAGAGAGAGAGACAGAGACAGAGAAAGACAGAGAGACAAACAGACACAGACAGAGAGAAAGAGGAGGCAGAGACACAGTCAGAGAGACAGAGGAGGCAGAGAGAGGACACAGACTGAAGGCTGTAAGGAACTTCAAGAGGAGTGCTCAGAGATCTCAACACTATCCTGAAGAGCTTCAGGAGAGCTCATGCTGAGGGGGCTTCCTGAACATCTCAAGCACTGGTAAGGAATTCCTGGATAAGCCCCTAGGGAGGGGTCCCCTTTCAGAACAGAACAGGGCTTCCCTACTTATGAGGATAAGACAGACTTGTGCGACCTCCCCTGGGGCTGCTTAGTGATGACAACTGCATGCGTGCGTGTGTGTGCACAGACACATTGGTTGGTTTGCTTTATGGGCCTGCTGCCCCCAGAATCTGGAGGCCCTCACTCCATGTGCGGCTTCAGAGCCCCTAAGCAGGGACATCTCACAGCCGCCCTTGGGCTTGGTTTCCTCATCTGAGAAAGGAGAACAATTGTAAAAGGCTGTGCAAACCTCAAAGCTCTAGATAAATGCCCGCTGTTATTGTTATTACTCTACTAAATGTGGGGCTGGACCTTTGATTTCCCCAGTACGATGAATTCCCAGCAAAGGAATTCCTTCTACCAATACAGGTCAGCACCTGCCCTCTGACTTGGAGTCTTGGAAATTTGCCCGGGACTCCAAGAAAAGAAGCGACTTGCCCAAGGTCATACAGCCAGGATGTGTCAGAGGCCCGGCTTAAAGTCATTTCTCCCCGACCCAGAGGCCAAGTTTCTGTTCACCACATCACATGGCCTCTCAGTAGCCATGACTGTAATAATGATGGTAAACACTTACAGACAGGGTAAAGACCTAAAATGAAAGTTTTCAAATAAAATAAAAATTGTATACATGGCTGAGTTACTAAAAGTGATTTTTTTCCCCCAAATGTAATAATAATAGCTAACATTTGTATAGGGCTTACTACATGCCAGGCACTGTGCTAAGCATTTTACAAGAACCATTCGAGCCTAACAACAACTCTCAGATATTGGTGCTATTATTATCCCCATTTTACAGATGAGGAAACAGAGGCAAATAGAGGTCAAGTGACCTGCCCAGGGTCACACAGCCAGTGAGTATCTGAGGCTGGATTTGAACTCAGATCTTTATGACTCCAGGCCTGGCGCTCTATCCCTTGCGCCACCTACTCACCTAACATATGTAAAACTCATTCTATTAAAAACATAAATTTATCCCAGATTATACTGTAGATTACAAAAGAAAAATACAAAAATTTGATACAGATCATCATTTGATGTTGCTCTGGAAAAAATAAATTTGAGTCCCCTTCATCTAGATGTAGGTGGCTTGGGGAACGTCACTTATCTCTCCTCAGGCTCTTCTGATCCTCGTCCAGCCACAGACAAAGCTGCTCCAAACTTGGTCTTGAGGCCTCTCAAGTAAAGGCGCAAGTTCTTCGCATCCAGCTGGGAATTCCTGGCCGTCTGAAGGAGCCTGGTGGCCAGCTGGTACACGGCCCTCTGTCTGGAGGCTTCAGCAGGGCTGCTCTGGCTTTGCTGTTCCTGAAAAATATGCTTAATGGTCATAAGGTGCATGGTAGGAGCTTCATTCAGTCAAGCAGGGTCGGGCAGTATTCTGGCTATCCCACTTCTGGGGTTCGCAGAGCTCAGGAGGCTGCTTGGTCCAGCCTCTGGTTTCCAAACAACTCAACACCTAAACAAGTAGCAATCTTTATCACACCTAGAAACAGAATTTATGTTGAGCTCTTACTACTTTATGACAATTTATTAATTTTTTGTGCAACATTCTTTAACCAAACTCTGCCTAAAAAAATAGCAGCTCACCCCTCTTAGTTTAATTTCAGGAAGGAATGGGAAACCCATCAGCCATGTGCATAGTGAGACCGTACAGGGACCCCACAGTATTTGCATTAGCCACCAATACCCAGAAACAGAGTCGATGCCCATCTATTGGGGAACATCCATGGGACGGACAGTAAGGAACAACAGAGTGAAGCCAGCAGACCAGAGGACAGCATACACTACAACTAAATGGAAGGACAACAGTGACGAAGTAACTGGACTGGAATGCTGTGAAATTATATACTGAGCCTGGCCTGATGAGAGGCAGGGAACCACAGGTGAGGAATGCTGCATACAATGCCAGACTTATTCCTTGAACTGGCTGGATCTGCTGGACCTTTTTCATTTTTTTGTTATGTGGGATGGCTGCATTGGGAAATCATGGGCAGCGAGCTAGCGCAGTAGACAGGGTGCCAGGCCTGGAGTCAGGAAGACTTCTCTGAGTTCAAATCTGGCCTCAGATAAGGCCCAGCCATGTGACCCTGGGTAAGTCACTTTACCCTGTTTCCTCAGTTTCCTCATCTGTAAAATGAGCTGGAAAAGGAAATGGCAAACCACTCCAGCATCTGTGTCAAGATGGCATCATGAACAGTCAGACACAACTACAAAATCACTGAACAATAAAGAGATTTACAAAAATATATAAAAAGGATGTTTTTCACACTAAAGTTTTCTTGCTTTGGGAAATACAGTTATTTTTCATTAAAATATTATTTATATTCATATGAAATGGTTTATTAATTTAAATGAAACAATACTGTAAAACTGTATGATTTTTCATTTTTAATACAGCAAATATCAGTGGAGCTAACCTCCATAAGCAAAAGCTCTCTGAGGTTCTCAAATTTTAGGAGTGCCCAGGGGTCCTGCAGGAACAGCCTTATACTGGTCCTTTTCTGCTCCCTTCCCTTCCTCCTCTCCTTGCAGTCTTCCTTCTATGTTTCGGGTACACACTGCTTGAATTCCATCCTGTGGCGGGGGATGCAAACACGGAGCGCTGACAAGCCCTGTTCTTTAGCAGAAGACTGGGAGCTCCCCAGAATCTGCTACACTCTGCCAATCCATCACTCCCTACATCTGCTACAGAGAATTGAGCATCACTCCACGAGGATGATGATTCAGGATCCAGAGTTCTGGAGCAGAGACGGGTGGCCCTGCATCTCCCTTCTGGTTCGAGCTGGGTTCCCTGCGGTGCCAAAGGGCTCCTTCCGTCTATATATGGGACGAGGTGGGGACAAGGCTCTTTCTAACTTCCTACCCTTGAGCTTGTCTGATCCTAATTCTTCCAACTTTCTTCCTTCCACTCGGGCAACATTTAGAATGAATCAGCCCAGCTCAACGAGTGTCTCTTCAGGATCTACAATGTACAGGCGCCAAGGGTTGGCTGGCCAGGAAAAGAGAGATGAGGCCAGGTGACAAACATCCCACCGCCTAGCTCAGACGCTTACTCTTTCCCACTGGTAACTATGACTGAATTCAGTTTCTGCACATGGTTCTTCTATCCATAGAGAGCAGCTTCTTCTTCAAACAGAAGGCTCACACTTCACCTTCTTCCTACAGAGAAATTCTAGATGAGCAAATCTCTTTAAAATAAAGTTAAATGCTTTTAAAAAAACCCTGTAGTGTCAAGTCTGAATTTTAATATAGATGTTTAACCAAATGATTCTAACGCACCTAATTTCATATTAATTTATTTTCAAATAACCCATGACCCAGTCAGAAGCTATGCTGTTCTGAAGAGAAAACATTTCATGAGACTTTAAGGGACAAAATCATTCTTTTTGCTAAAAAGTACACTTACCGTAATCTGCCTAGTGATCTCAGCTCTGATCTCTTTTGCATCAGAAATAATTGACTGTGGGAGTGACGATGCTTCAGCAGCTTTGATCCCTGGAAACAAAAAAAACAAGGCCATGCCTTATTTCCAGGACTGGAGATGGTATTCATACTGGTAAATGTTAGCTGATGAAATGGTCTTTTTGTTATTATTTTTTAAGAACTAGATCCATGCTTTGCATGGTATAGTAGACAAATGTCTGGCCCTAGAGTCTGGAAGCCCTGTTTGAGTCCTGGCTCTGACATGGGGGTTATAGAAGCTGCACCAGGCTCTTCACCTGTGGGGGGGTTCCGAGAAGGCCAGGGGGCATAGACAGAAGTCAGGATAACAAAGGGATGAACTCACAAAGACACTTCCTCTGCCCTCCTAAGGAGCGCCTCAAACAAGATCATCTCTGCCTCTTCCTTCCCATCTCCATGAGACAGGAGAGCTCCATGCCCTTGGCACAGCTAGAAGGAACAGGCTCTGGGGCAGATTTTCTGCTTGGGGACAACCCAAGATGGGCTCTGCCAGGCCTCCTAGTGCCCCTCATTCTCTCTCTCTGTCTCTGTCTTTCCCTCTCTCCACTCCTCTTCCCCTCAATTCTTCTGTCCTTCCTTCTGGCAGCTCAAGTCTGCTGCCAAATAGGTCTACGCAACCTTTTTTGAGTCTCATCTCGTCATCCTTGGTGGCTTGGAGCAAGCACATACAGAAAAGCGTCTTGATTTCAACCGTCAGAGATCTGGGAGCAGTGGGGAGTTTGGGAGGTCAGGCTGACAGAGGAGATTTGGGGGACCCTGCTCCCTTTCCTGCATCTCTGAAAAATCCTAGTAACAAGAGATAGCTAGCTATTTCTATATTGTAAGAGAAAAAATTATTGCTAGCCTTGTCTCAAACCAGGGGTTCTTAACTTGAGGTCCACGGATTCCTCAAGGTTACAGATTGATTTCAGGAGGTCTGTGAACTTAGATGGAAAAAAAATGACAATTTAATTTTCACTAACCTCAACCTCAATATTTGCAGGCAGCAAATATTATTCTCAGAAGAGGTCCTCAGGTCACTGCCAAAGGGGTCCATGAAACACCCAAGTTAAGAACCCCAGTCTTAAACACAGTCCTCCAAATACAAGATCTTTGAATATTTTTTGGTACAAAGATTTCCGACCAGATGCATTTTGAATAAAACGAAGTAACATTTGTACAGGCCGATATACTGGTTTTGCCTGACATTTAAAAATACTCATCAGAGACTGTGGTTTCTCAAATGGGTCATAACCTTAGCTCAAATAATTGGCACTAATAAACCTCAGATTTATAAGTAAATTGGATATTCTCTCTCAACTGTCTAGCGTCACACGTTTGTTACATGACAAATTTGATAGAAAAAACATCAGCTCTCCTCTGAGAACATTCGATCACTCGCTCATGCATTTACTCCCTTTGGAATGACATTATAAAATATTAGAGCACTGTGGAATGTGAATAGGATGCAGATTCAAACTCCTGCTCATGCCATCAAAATGCTGTGCAGGGAATATGAATTTTCAGTTTATAAAGACCATAAGATCTAGGGATCTATGATTTAAGTGCTACAGAGAACTGTCAGGGAAGAAGCTTCCTGAAGCAATGCAGGCCTGGAGCAGCGGTCCCAAACTCAGAGGCACAAATCTGGATACAAGGTTCCCTGCAGGCACATGCTGACTCAGAAAACTGCCTAGGACACTGTCTGCAGTCGGCTGTATTTTTGTTTCTTTTGTTAAACTTCTCTCGATTCCATTTTAATCTGCTTTGGCCCTGGGGAGCATTTCAGGCCCTTGCTGACCCTGAGCCCTGAGAGGTGCTCAATGACTGGCCCAACGCTGTGTTGTGTGTCAGAGGCCAGCCTTTGCACCCAGGCCTCTCTGGCTCTTTGCCCACTGCTCCATGCCCCTTTTCTTCAGGTCTATGCTAAACTGCATTTGTCTGAAACTTTCCAGATGCTTCAAGTGTTTAGGCAACATTATGTAGTTCATTATAGGCTCAAAATTCAATTCAATTCTTTAAATACAAGTTGGGTGTTTTGAAAGACAGACTAGTCCAGAGAAGCATAAATGCTTAGCTTAGGAGGGCAGCATCCATCACACCACAGGCAGTAATTCTATCTTCAGAGCACTGATGTGGACAGAATGATCTGAAATACCGTAATTCTTTTCTTCTGTATGTCCTTTAGAAAGTCTGTAGGTGTATGTGATCGACTCTCGGCTTCTCAGGCCGCTTTTCACGTGCTGTACTTCAAAATGGATATTTTCAACATTGGGAAACAAGATGTCCATTTGGCACAGCTCCAGGAAATGAGTAGCAAACAGCGTGAATGCCTACAGTAGGGACCAGAAACTTCACATTAGGGCCTGTCAGGTAAATGAAGGGATTCCATTCAAGCAAGCTAAGAATCGCATAGTCACTCACAGTAATTCAGCCACACAAGTATGGAGCTGAAGAGTCGTGGTCTGCTTGTTAGAGAGTACTCTGAGAGTTTAACCCTCAAACAAACAACGTTCTCCTGCATGCGTTTGTGTGTGCCCTGTTGTAGGGGCCCTGGGATCTCACTGCGAACTGCCCCGCACAGAACCAACCAATCCGTCAGCATTTCTCAAGGGCCCACTAAGCTCCAGGCTCCTTACCCAGGTGCATCGGTGGCGGTGGCACCCCATCCAGGAGGGTCGCCTGCGCCCCTGAGAAGGGCAGCGAGACTCCAGAGTCACTCCCCAGCCCGGGGTCCTCACTCAGAAGCCATCTCTCCCTCCTCACGCACATACACCCATGCAAACATGCACATCTATATTAAATCTCTGGGGAAAAACACACGTTTCTCAATAACCTAAAAGAAAATGTTTTAGCCCTCATGTATTTCATCTACAAATGCCTTCTAAAATCACACGCCACCTGTCAATGCTGGAAAGCAGGTGCCTCATCATACTTCTGCAGGTCTCCCCATGACTTCTGAAATCTTATTCCTCTCCCTGGATTTCACGACCTGCCCCCCAAAGGCAATGTGTGGGCCAGCTCTAAACGGGAGCTCTTCCAGGAAGCCCGCTGCATTTCAGGAGGGGAGAAGCACTCTCTCCCACCTCCTAATGCCACAGTACTTCCTACCTTTCCTATGCATTTATCGGGTCCTACCTTCTATTACACTTACTCGTGTATTTACCTTTCCAACTGCACCAAGCTCTTTTATCATGTGGAGAGCCAGCTGGTCATCAGTCAAGTAAGACCCACATTCATATCCTTCCTCAAACACAGGTGATCCTGGGATAGTTAATTAACCTCTGCCTCAGTTTCCATAAAATGAGGATAATCAAAATACTTCCCTCTGGGGTTGTTGTGAAACTCAAAAGAGATATTGTGAAGGAGTTTGCTACACAGGTTTTAACTGGTATCACTATTGATAATTATTTTGTGTTTCCTCTCATGTTCTGCACACGTGAGGTTATTGCTGAAGTGAACTATTAAACAACTGCAGAGGAGATGAGAGCTGACAAACAAAAATGTTTCAATTTTCTGATTTTGTAAATTTCCTTTCTAATGAATCCCCTTCTTTAACCATTTAAGGGTAAGACCTAAATAATATCCTCTTTGGGTATATTTGAGCAGACACCACCACTATGATGGGCAGAGGCAGGAAACATCAGGAAGGTTTTAAGAAGTGAGTGATGAGCCATTAAATGGGTTATCACTGGGACTGCTGAGTGGTGAGTCATTTGTTTTTAAATGACAGATGAAATGGCTCACATGAAAGATGGCCGAATAATGATTGTAAGAAAATAATCTGCTAGAAACTGATCCAGGATTGGCATCCCAATACAGACAACTGACATTTCTGGAGATCTCGAAGGCTTGTGAAGTACTTTATATATACTTAGGGAAGGACTGCAGATGTTATTATCCCCAGTTTACAGATGAGAAAACTGAGACTGAGAGATGCAAGTGGCCCACTCAGAGGTAGAACCTGAAACTTCCAGATTCCAAGTCCTATACCCAGTTCATCAGTGAGGTGTGAAGAAAATCAACAACTATGACTCAAATAGGAGACAAAACCACAAATCTAAATAGACTAATGGGAAAACATCTAAGAAAACCTTGGTTACAATGAGATATATATATATACATATATATATATATACATATATATATATGTGTGTGTGTGTGCATATATATATGTGTGTGTGCATACACACACACACACACACACACACACACACACACACAATGATATACTGCCCGAGTAGGCTATCAAAAGAGGTTAAAAGTTTGTAAAACAATAATACTTTCAAAATTTCCCATCTTAAATCCACGGTACCAACTCTAGTAAACCCCACTTGACTAAATGTCCCAAAAACAACAGAAGTAAGTCTAAATCTAGGATGCGATTGTTAACGTAAGGTTCACTATCCAATACCTAAATTATTCATAATCCTTATTTTTTTCTATCCCCATTAGAACTCTCTTATTAACAGCTCTATGAAATGAGAAGCAAAACTCAGGGTTTACAAATATTTTTCAGCCAGCTCCTGAAGTTTCATGTCATCTGAGGAAGCTCTACACACTATTTCACTACCTTGGATTGCTAAGGGACTTCATTTGTGAGTGATGTCCATTAAAGCCAGCTAGATGCTTGTCTAAATGAAAGAAGTTACATCAAAAAGTAACTGGATGAATGTGTAAGAAATACGGCAAAATACCTTCAAGCTCTGCAGATATTCACAGACCGCGTAACAGATGCCAATGCCTTCCTCTGTATTAGTACCTCTGCCAAGCTCATCAATTAGGATGAGTGATCTGTCGTTAGCATTATGGAGTATATATGCTATCTAGGGAAAAATATTTTAATATTACTTGCTTCAGCCTACGAAGCTGTCAGGATGATCAAAAACAAAATTAGGGAAAAAATACAGATGATTAATTCATCTGAAATGAAGCTTTACTGAGAAATCTGCCACACAGAGTAAAAGATTACTTTTCTTTCTTAAATAGGAGGCCAATGATTCCAAAGGTAATTACAATATTAATGGCTGATGGGCATATAAAAATGCACCGCATGTGTGCATCAGACAATACAAAGAACAAGTAGCCAACACTGAAATTACAGTATCTTAGACTGAAGGGAAGAAAACCCAAGCAATATATTTCATTTTAGGCTAATGGGGGTGAAACCCAAGATACTAGTGACCTGTAAATTTCTATCATTAAATATTTGACTTTTCAAATTAATTTTAACACAGTTAAAACTAGCATAACTGCAAAGAAAACTACAGGAAATGTTGTGCCAGTATGGAAGCTTATGGCTAACCCAATCCAATTTAAATCCCCAAACAACAAACCCAGGAGACTTTCTCAAAAGGACACCAAATACAAGTCTTCTTCATGGAGTGATGTGTTCACAGCAAAGTGGCCAACTTCCCTTCAAAAGAATTCCATTCTATTTATGACATCATGAAGCTATAATCTGATATAGCAAACTTCATGAATCATGTATTATTTTCCTATTAAACTAAACTTCTTAAAGGCAGAGATTATCAATCAATGAATCAGCAAGCAGTTATTATGCTTTTCCCATACGCTAGGCACTGTTCTAGGCCCTAGAGATGAAGACAAGATTAAAACCTAAATGAGCTTACATTCTAATGGGGAAAATCATACACAGGCATTTTTTTAAAAGCATGTACAAGGTAACTTTGGGAGGAAAGCTCTAGTAGCTGGGGGAACTACAAAAGCCCTCATCTAGAGAGGGATCTTGAAGAGAAACCAGGGAATTTCCTCAGAGAGAGAAGTAAGAGTATTCCAAGCATGGAAGACAGTCAGTGAAATCAATCACTCATTCTCAATCAATGATTTAATCAATCAAGTGTTCCCTATACGTCGGTCCTATTCTAGGCACTGAGAAAGCACATGCAAAGAATGACACAATCCCTATTCTGAAGGAGCTCAAAGTCTATCATGGAAGAAAACATGTATGTATGTTACTACATATGCATTAAGTATGTTCATGCAGGGTAAACACAGGAAAAGGATCCCAGAGCTTGATCTACTCGAGCCTTGGAGATCCTGGGAATAAAAGCTCAGGCCTTCTGCCCCAGAAGATGGAAGGTGTCAGAGAGAGAGGAAGCATGCTGAAGGGTGTCGAGGTCCTGGGATGGGCCTGCATTAAGCCAGGAATGCCAGGCTCCAAAGCATCAGAGACTGAGGACCCAACCGAGCAGCCACATAGAGCAGTCTACAGGAAGGGGCAGATAACCAAGCCGGGAAGGACTATTCTAGTCCTCTGTTTCTAAAGGAAGAGATTCACTTATTTCCCCCAATCACTGTGGCCGTTAATGAGAGCTTGCTCACTTTCATGATTTTGCAGGTGTTTTCAAAAGAAACTGGTTTCTCTAAGAGTTTCTTCACTATGTGTTTCAACCGGGGTTAAGGGTCAGGAGGTAGGGAAAGGGATTAAAAGCTGCTTGAGTGTGACCATGGGACACAAAGGGAGAGGGGACACCCTCTTTCTAAATCACTGGGGGTTGGGGAGCTTCGCAGCCCAGAACAGGGGTCTGTGAATTTGGTTTTTTAAAAAAATTTATCTAATCATAAACAGTTTCCTTTGCAACACTATGTATTTTATTTTATGCATTTACAATACTATTCTGAGAAGGGGTCCATAGGTTTCAGCACACTGACTGACTGCTCAAGGAGTCTGTCCATGACATAAATATGTTCCAGAACCCCAGCCCAGAACAATGCTAGACACATAGTAGGTGCTTAATAGCTGCATGATTGAGGAGTCCTTCATAGTAATGTTGAAATAATCTTCCTCGTTCCTATATCTGGTTATGCCCTTCCCTGGCTCCAAAGCCTGGTGTTCAAGGTCCTGGTCAGCCTTCAGCCCTGCCCACTTTCTGAAGCCTTGGCTGGCACCTGAGCACCCTAAGAACCCCAGACCTTACACAGAAGGCTATCCTGCCTCTCTCTGATGCACTGAATGTAACATGCAATAGTGTCTGATTTGTGCACTGTAAAGTCGACAAATTCTGGACTGCGTCTCATCCAGATTTTTCATCTTCCCTAGTTCCTAACACAGGCCTCTAAAAACAGCAGGTGCTGAACATTTTTGAATGAATGAATGAACTCACATACCCAGTAGAGAATAAGTCAATCCATGCTGTATAAATGACATTCACCTGAAACACAAGTGAAGCTAAAACATTTGCCATCCAAATGATTTCTGCCTCCCAGGGCTGGCCAAGGAGGCCAGTTTGACCCCCTCTGTCCCTTTCCACTGAGTGGAGAGTTAGCCAGTCCATGAAAGGGAGGTGAAGGATGCGAAAATGCTTAAGAGAAGAGAAAGTTTTGTCATGGCAAATTAAAGCATGATTAAAAGAAGCTTGCTACCAATTCAATATTTTAAAAATCAAGCCTAGTAAGAACAATGTAAAAGGTATAAATAATTACAGAAAGTGTGTTTTGGGGAAACACATTATTTTTATATGTTCCATAAAAAATGGATATGCTTTCTAACTAAATGACCATATTTTCTCTCATACATTGATGTAAAGTTTACTGTGTCACCTAACAGATAAATGAGGAAGTTGTCTTTGACCACCTTCTTCCTCTTAGCATTAGGCATGACCATATTAACCTGTTTCAGAACAAGCACAGTCCATTAGACAATACCAACTGTCTAATAGCTGGATCCAACCCATTCCTGATATTAAAAGAATTTAACTTGGTACCTCTTTCATTTCCTTCATAAACGTTGATGAATTTGTTTCTATATCATCATTCATACTGATTCTAGTGAAAATTTGTTCAGTGATTCTAAATGAAGAATATTCTGCTGGGACAAATGAGCCTACAGAATTAAGAAAAAAGTATTAGGTATATATACACTCATAACAAAAAGAAACTATCTTATAAAAACATTAGTACTAAACTTTTTCTCCTCTCTACTGCACAAGAGTTAACACATATACTTACCGAGACCAAATGTTAAAGGTAGTAGTTACATGAAAAGAAGTGAAAATTAAATGAGAAAAATTTTAAATAGGAAGAAGTTCATTTTAGAAAAGCAATTAAAGTTTCATTCTCAAAAACTCTTAGAAAAATGTTATAGCAAATGTGACTAGAAAACATTGCCGACCACACAGCAGTAGAATGTAAAAAGGAAAAAAAAACCAAGTTTTATCCATAAAACAAAGTGACTGCCTCTGAGGACACGATGCCAACTCCCCCAGACTTTATATCCCTCTATTGAAAGCAGATCTCAATGGCTCAACTTGTAAATCTGCTCTACATAAAGAATGAGACCACAAAATTCACTTTAACCCACTGGAAGATAAAAGCATATTACTATCTGTGTGTAAAAAAAATGGTCAGCATTCAAATTTGTGGGGAAAAAAATTCCATGTTCAAATACAAATGGGCAGTATCAGAGAGAAATAGCAGCCTATTAAATCCTGAAGGAGAACAAGCTTTTCTCCTCATAAATTCTTGGTCCAATCTGGTGAGAGACAACCCAAAGAAAGGCTTAAAAGCAACAATTTTTTAAAAAATATTGCCCTCAAAGGGTCTGCCAGACTTGAGATTTCATCCATATGGGGAACTCCTTTCACTGACAGAAAGCCCCAGTTTGTCAGTAATTTTACAGCGTTCCATCACTGTCTGGGGCCCTGAAAGGTTCAGTGGCCTTGCCCATGGTCACACATCTGGAACCCACTAGAGTCAGGACCAGTTGGTCTTCCCAACTCCAAGGCTGCCTATTCCACGCTGCCTTTTTTTTCTTTTAGAGAATCCAGGAATACTGATTATATAATTGTAGCAGATCTTTCTGAGTGTTAGGAAGGAGCTAAGAAAAATTAAGGTAACTTTTAAAAGAAATACTTGTTTTACATTAAAGATCCTAAGGTTGCCCAACATCAAACAATAAGGGAAAATAAATAAGTATTCTGACAACTGAATACCTGAAGTCACTGCTAAATAAGTAACCACAAAGAGAAGGCACAATCTTTTTATTCTCATGGGAAGGGTACTAAGCTGGGGGTCCAGGGCTCTGGGTTCTAGTTCTGTTCTCCTGCTAGTTAGTCATGGGGCCTAGCAAAGCCAGTTCAACTCTCCTGGATTCCTTCATGTATAAGATGAAGGTGATGGTACCCATCACCCACAGCCTCCTGACCCATCTCTCTCCCTTGCTCCCTTTATACTACATGGGGGCAGATCAGTATCAAACAGGCAGAAATGGAGGCAGAGAGAAGGCGGTGTGGTAGCCCTGCTCACTGGTCTCGCCTCAGGGAATATTCACACAGCCGGGGGTGGGGGGCTGGGGAGGTGGGGGGTGTGTGTGTGGGTGTACTGCTTAGGGCAGCCTCACTCCCTGCCACCACACCCTCCCAGATTTTCCTTGGATGAGGCCTTGAGGTGTTATTTAGGAAGGCAGACTGACAAGGAGGAATTTGACAGGAACAGAGGAATTTTCTAAGCCGAGCCCACCAGGCAGCAAGGATCAGAGACCTCAAGTGAGATCAGTGGAAGGGTCCATCCTATCTCATCTACGCTTTTGCGCCGGCTTTCCCTGGCTGCCCGGCTGTGTTGACGTGAGGTCTTAAACTCCAGTAACGAAAGGTCCTTCTTACAACAAGACAGGTTCCCTAGCAGCTGCAGCCCAGCTTGGCCCAGCTGATGGCCAGAACATGATGGCAGAGACCAGCACAGGAAACACCGCACCCGCACAGCCAGAAGCCGCCCGGCAGGCTGCAGAGATTCCTGGTAGAGCTGGGCCATGACCCTCATCCAGGGGCATTCCCAGAGGACATGTGCGGCACTGTCACTACAGCACCATGAATTGTCTCAGCCAAGTGCATGCCTTAGATGCATGTTTCTTACATGTATGTACCTGTTAGCTACATGTCATACCCATATGTGTGCAGAAAACACCCTTCACATCATCTATTATTCTACGCTGTTTGATTCAATGTCTTTTGCTTTTGTACTAACATATAAATATATTGGTGGGGACCTGTAACCTGTGGATTTAAGTGGGTGCCACTCACTGCTGTCTAGGGGGTCCAAGGGAGGGAACGTCTAAAATCATGGGAGTTTTTCGGTATAGTCACGTTCAAGAGTTTGATGCTGATGTTTAAGAAACGGTCACCTTATCTATAACCTAATAAACGATGCTATCTAATCTTAACAGTCCCTTCTGCTCCTTCCTTCTCTCCTGAATCTGGACCATCTTCTCCTTAGCAGCTATTCCAGACCCTCTCCGCACCAGCCTCCACACCACTGCTCCCCTTCCCCTTCTCGAAAGAGCACTGCACCACTCGCCCTCCTGGGAGGACAGAAACTTTCTGCCGAGCTCTTTCTCCCCCTTCCATATCTCAAAGCCATCTATGCCATTCTCGAGTCTTGAGCCTTGGTTTGACCTCCTACAAGAAAAGCCTTTCCACTCAATGGTCTTCATATTATCACAATCTCTGTGTGTGTGTGTGTGTGTGTGTGTGTGTGTGTATGATCTTCACACTGGCTTTCCTCCTGCCTATAAACACTCGCATGTCTCACTAAGACTCTTCTCTCGACCCACCATCCGTTCCCACTCCTATCCTATATTGCTTCTTCCTTTCCTTGACAAATGACGTGAAAGAGCCATCCATAATCATGACTCTCATTTCCTCATCTCCCATTTACTCCTCAACCCCTTTCAATCTAGTTTCTGACCTAATCACTTGACTGAAATTGTTCTAAGGCTATCAATTATCTGCTTCTTAAAATTATAATTTTAAATCGGCCAAAGTCTGCCTCCTTACTCTTTCATCCCCGCCTCCCCCCAAACCTGTCACAAACATGACCATCAAAGCAAAGCACCTTCCCACGCTCTCCGGGGGCCAAAGACGCCTGTCTTCTCCTCCACTCCGAGTCCTTCACCTCCCGACAGGAGGCAGGGAGCGTGCTTCCTCTTTAGTCCTCTGGAACCTGACCCTGGTCGGTCCTGAAGAGTTCCAAATTCTGTCAAGCTGCTTGTCTTCCCCACGTTGTCCCTGAATAACTGTCCGGCTGCTTCTGCTCATGTAAACCCTCCCCAGATGCTCTGGAAGCATCTCTGCCATCGCTCCTATGGAGCGCTGTTCAGCCTTTCCCCAACTGATGGGCGGCCCTTGAGATTTCCTTTCTCTGCTGCCTCAAAAAGAGCTAGTTTTGTGTGTCCTTAGTTAAAGGCTGTTCTGCTTAGTCTACCTTCACCCGAACTCCCCCTTCTCTGCTGTGTCCAAGCTGAATGAAATGTTTCCTTGTGCAGCCTTGTATGCGTGCATTGATCCCTCCTGTGACCAGTTCAGAGGACTTATCCACTACCCCTCCCTTTACTGTTTGTGTAGACGTCTGCCTGCATCCGTATGTTCAATAATTCCCCCTACCCTCCTTTCCCTTCTCCACCTCACCCTGTGCTAGTCTTAAGTTCATCAAGCTATACAGAACTTCTCCCAGGCTTTGTCTAACGAGACTCTCTCAAGGCCCCCTGGGGATGACGAGGCTCAGAGAGGGGACATGGACCATCTCCCCCCATCAGAACGTAAGCAGTCTCTCCTCGTTGAGTTAGTTATTACAGATCATTTATCTTTCTGCTCTATGTTTCTCTTCACTCCTGTGTTTGAACTTCAAAGTTTCTCTGCGGCCCTCTCTGGCCTTTTCACCAGGAATGCTGGGAAGTCCTCTACTGCACTAAAGGTCCATTTCCCCCCTGTAACATTATACTCAGTTTTGATGGATAAGTTAATACTGGCTGTAAGCCCATGTTCTTTGCCTTCTGGCATGTCATGCTCCAAGCTTTTTGCTCCTTCATAGCACTGGCCTCTAAATACTGTGACCCTGACAGTGGCTGCTGGGTATTCAAAGTCTGTTTCTTTGCGGTATTTTTCCTTTGACCTGGAAGTTCTGGATTTTAGTTGTAATGTTCCCGGAAGTTTTCATTTTGGAGTTTACCTTAGGAGGTAACCCCAGGGGTTTCTTTCTAGTTCTACTTTCCCTCTGGTTCCAAGTGATCTGAAAAGTTTTCTTTGAAAATTTCTCAAAAGAAGATGTCTGGGCTTTTTTTGGACATGGCTGATCCCATCAAGTTCATATCCACGTGTGGCACGACTGTTGGACAGCCATCTCAGCGTCCACTAGCTGGGTCCTGGGTTCTTTGGGTTATTCCCAAAGGTCACTCATTGTTCCTCATGGTATCAATGCTACATGGAGAAACCTGATCTGGACTCTGAGTTCCAGATTTCTGTGGCTCTCCCAAGGTCATCTGGTCTCACCCTGGGAGTCACTGATAAAGCAAAAAGACGAGCCTTTATGAATGTCTGCACTGACCAGAACCAGCTACCAAATGGGGTCCTACGTTCCCAGCAGCTCAAGGGAGCTCCTGCTTT